GCTGTTTGGATTTTTTGGAACCATATTTGCATATTTGCTGCACCCATACTGTATATGGGTGCAGCAAATATGTACATGGAAAGCCACCTGCTAATTAATACTATGTAACAGCAACTAATAAAATTGCAAGAATTTCCTTCACCAAAATTAAAGCACAAACTTCATAGATGAGCTGTACTTCTTAGTGGACCATGACATTTGCTCGATAGTTCCATTAAAAATTCTTCAAAAGGCGCCAACGTTACAAGCGCAATTGCGAGGTCGTATTCAGTTATTCAGATCAGTGGAGGTGAGGCCTAGCAGGCAGCTGCTGTCTGTCTGTTTGGCATACCTGTCAAAGCTTTATGAAAAGTGCAATTGTTAAGAAAGGGGGAACTACACATAGAGATCAAAGCTATTTTTTGTAACAGGCTGTAAATGTGATGTTAATTCTGTTAAACTGCTGATTTTAACATGGCTGCAAACTGCCACACCGCAAACTGCAGTTTTTGTCATTTCTGTGGCTTTCGGCTCACTTCATAGAAACATTTAACATGAGGAACTGATTACACCATTACACTTGCTTTGCCACTGATATTTATTTTAACCAATATAGGGTGCACTAGATAGCAAGTGCACATGCATGCTCCTTTTACTATCATTGCTTGCCACTTTGTGCTGCTCTGTGCAGCTGTTCTTAAAACAACTACATCAGGAGAACCAGGAGCAGTGTTTGCACATATCACATATGCAGGTGTGCACCTAGAGAACTATTTCAGTCTGTTTGTAGTGATAAGCACTTGTTCTGTGTGCGTTCTCAGCCTCCTTTGGCCCTGCCTGTTTCTATGATTAGTATAGGCTGAGACACGATCGAAGTCCAAACCCTGAGGGCACCTGACAGATCTTGGGATTGCATCTCCTTCCTCATCCATCGCTTACCATCTCACTTTCCAACCCATGCTCCCATTCTTCAGTCTACACCTGATGCTAATACACCTAACAAGCCCAGACCTGTTGTTTTGTCACTGCACTGTATTTATTTCACCGTTTTTCTCCCAAAGACACAGCGGAGGCAGCAGGAACATTCATCTGGGTAAAACGAGCTTTGTGCAAAAGGGCAGATCGATGTTCCCTAAGGTTTTACTGCAGTGGTGCGCAGCCATCTCGAGCTGCGCAGCTGAAATAGGTAAACTGTTAACACAGCTCCAACACGTTCGTCTGTCTGCTTTGTCAGCAAGCTACCTGTGCTGTGAGATTATGGCACATAGCTGCTACAACTCCGAGCTATGCCATCAGGACTCTGGTAGTTGTTTGGCCTGAAGGATGTTGAGCTGCTGAGTCGTTCAAAAGCGCTGAGACGCAGCATCGTGTTATGCCACCGCCATACTATGATGCAGCTGTATCCTTGTCAAAGGCATTTCTCTGCTTCTGTAGAGCACATGGCTGCTCCTCGTGCTTCTCTCATCCCATCTCTGTCCTCTGCAGCAATCGGACTACACATAAACACGAAATAAAAGCTTCTCGGCACACAGACACTTTCTCAACATTGGCACAAGCAGCCAAACAGACAAACAATAAAACAAGATTCCACAATATCTCCGTTTATAGACACAAACACATGCAGTCTCTTTCCTCAAAACACGCTCTCTCTGTCTGTGTTCACACTCCTACTTCCAAACATGCTTGTTTGCTCCTTGTCCTGTGCTGGCTGGAGTCAGACAGGACAAAGAGCCTTTTTCTGGAGCGAGACATTTCTGAGAGAGTCTGTGCAGCTCTGTCACACTCAGGAAGGAAGCCCACGACATGCTGATCCCACTGGAGGCAGCGGGCTTCTCTCCAGCTCTCTCAGTACTGTCTCTGATATTCTCTGGTTTTATCCTGGCCACTTGTGGTTTTTTTACAACACAACACACATTCTGCTGTACATCAGAAAACCTCTGGCTCGGCCGGCGTGCTGCAGACAGGTGTTGACCAGAGGACACTGGGGTTTCAGGGTTCAGGAAGCCATCTGTGGTGTGTTGGTTCCTGCCAGTTTAGGAGTTGCAAATAAGAGGTGGTTTGTGTGGATCTCTAATTATGAGGCAACTTATAATACCTGCATCTTAGCTGAGAACTGTTACTTTGGATAAACCTGAGTTACTGGGGGTTTTTTAATCACTATTTTTGCAGCCACAGCAGAGAGACTTCAGAGAGCTCATCTTGTTTTTATCATACCCCAGGAAAGCAAATCACAAGAGCCATTCTGCAAGAGCTAACAAAGCCGACCTTTCTGATGATCACACTAGAGGCAGTGGAGAGCGCACGGGCCCTTTCCTCTTCCTCCTTTTCCCTGAATTAAAATCTTAATAGCAGCATCCCCATGTTCACTTCCTTTTTTCTCTCATCACAGCCAAGGTGGGCAGTGATCATAGCAACGGACACCATGGAAACTAAGCATGACATGGTCCTAGAGGTAACCGAATCCAAAGGCCCAGGTAAAGTGGTTTTATAGACATCTTAAAGAGACGGCCTTTTAAAAAAACATGTTAGGTTCATCGCATCATGACCTTTTTTTTTACTGTCTCTTTAAGAACTGCATGGTGTGGTGATGGGTTTGACTTCATAGAAGAGATTTACTTCATTTGTGGTGTGGTGTGTCCACATTCTGACTTCTTTAATCTCCTTTTTCTTGCTTGTCTGTGATCCCTGCAAGGGTCACGATGACCCTCATGGAGAGTGAGTACAGCATAGTGCAAATTGAACAAAGTAACACATCAATGTTAAAACATCATGAAAACACATTTGTGTTCAGGAATTGCAAGTGTACAGATTCTGTACATTTATTGGTGGACATAATCGATAGCTGTCTTAATGATAATGTTAACATAGATGTGACTATTTCATATATATGCTGTTTCAGTGGTGGATACTTTTACTCTTGGATCTTTGTGATGTCAGTGAGACTGGATATCCCTAATATGGTCATCTTACAAACATGCAGTTCAAACCTTTTAATTGTGAGGGGCAGCCAGTCAGCTGACAGGTGACTTTAAGTGAGAGCAGTTAAAATGTCACATTTCAGACAAAGATAGAACCAAGGAGCTGCACCAAGGACCATTATAAGATGATTAGGGAGTATTTTGAACTGTTAGTTATTCAAAACTTCTCCAGTAGAGTCCAAGAATGAGGGGGAAAGGGAGCTGAAAAGGCATAATAAGTGCATATCATAAAATATCATGGACACAAAATGAAAGAATTATCATGCCCTTTCTGCATGGACTATTTCCTGGCAGCGATGACAATTTGAAACTGGTTGTAAATAACATGTCCAGGAGTTTATAGTGGCTGTAAACCCCATCCTCTATAGGCAATTTGGGAGTTTTGAATGTTGCTTATTCTGAGAAATATTTTAAAAAAATGTTCCTCATCAGTTTCATACCGCTTATTAGTGACTGTAAGATGAAACCCATGGCTTTAATGGTTCACTGCTCTGATGATGCTTTAAGTAAAAAAGCTACAAAACTCTACTTTATACTACCTGCCCAGCTATAAACAGTGCATATTTTTGCTGTTGTTGTAAAAGCATAAAAACATTTGAAAAGATTAGAAACTAGTTGGGTTTTTTGTAGTTTTTTGAATCTCCCAGCCTTCGATCAGGTAATTCATTTGCAGCAGTTGGAAGCTTACAGATAAAACAAAAACAAAAAAAAGGAATGCACAGGAAAAAACTGAAGAAACCAACTATTTAAAAGATGAAAAAATAGGAAAATAACTCATTAGATTATATATGGGAGTAAATGACCCTTTTCATCTTAAGGGTCTAGTGAAGAGATGGCTGCGGACATTAGGGAATGTACTAGTGTGAGATGATGTAAAGGGTGGGAACAATCAGACATGATGGGTTTTGCTTTCTTATGTAACTGCAGGGTTTTCAGTGCTGTTCCAGTTATTTTGCTGCAGATATTAATCACCTTATTCAGTATGTTTTCTGTTTGATCTCGAGAGACTGATTGGAAATGACAGCTTGGAAAGTGAGTTCAAATTCAATAAAAGAGAGATAAAGTGTTGTCACCAGGGCCCTGTCAACCTGGAGCTTGAGGAGTTTGTCGATATAAAAGAAACACTGTAGGTTTTCTTATTCTCATGTCAGTATTAATATTACTATTAGAATGGACCTGTGATGCTTCATATTTTCTGCATCAGTGGTTAAACTTATATATATTAAATATGTTTTGAATTAATAAGGTCAGTGTATTTACATGTAATTCTTGTCAGCTAAAAGTTTCAAACTGCCGCAGTTTCTTTTCCCCACTTTTGGCTCACTATGATGTAAGTGACAGCAGATATTCCTCATATAGTCATCTCAAATCAACATAATTGGTTTTGAGCTCATAAGCCTCTCCCGCCTGCTCTTCAAAGTGTTGTTTTTAAGAAGCAACCAATCAGGAGAAAGTTAGCTTAAACGAGGGGAATGAGGCCCAGTATAAGATAAATAGGGATTATTGTGAACTGTGAATGCTGCAGAGCATTACGTTTACCATTAAAAGTTGTCACTTTGTATTACACATGAGGATTAGGGTTACATAAGCCATTGCTTTGGCTTACACCCTTTCTGTCTGAAATCTAGCAAGTTTTAGTTTTAGTCTGGCACTGCTTATTTTGTTACGATCAGATAGAAATGAAAAGTTTGAGTCTAAAAGTAGTTTATTTTATATTTATTGTCTTTAATATGGTTTCCAAATACATGTAGAATTGCAGTGTTTGTATTATTCTGAGCATCAATCACTTTATTAAAAACCAAGTCCACTATGTGCCATAGATTCCTATTTTAGGAAAAGGAAAGAGTGGACATTGTATACTTCTATTTCCTAGCATTTAAAACTTTAACACAGAAAGCAGATTCATTAAATTCCAGTTCCGCCCTTCTCGAGATGGCCTCATAGAGACACAACTCCGCCGTGAAAAACAAAGTGAAATATCCTGCAAACTCAGATTTAAAACCTGTCTGATATTAAAGACACTCCGAAACCAGGATAGCGATGGAAGCAAGATAAATAAGAAAGAAAAATCCAACGATCCAACAATGAAACTAAAGGGATGAAGACTTGCAGGGAACGCGGTGTGGGGCTAATGCTAAAGACAACACAGGGCAGACATCCACTGAACCTGAAGGTAAATATGGAGATAATCCTACAAGAAAATCAAGAATTCCGAAAGAAGAACAACACTCAGCTCGAAGATATGAAAGTCAAAATTCTTTAGGCTAACAGGAGAATTGGTGAGGTCAAAAACCACATTGAAGCAGCCGAAACCAGAGTCCAAACATTCGAGCAGGTGATGAAACTCGTGCTCTAAGCTCAACCTCAGTATGACAAAAAATGTATTGACCAGGATGGGAGAGCCAGGAGAGACAACTTTAGGACATATAATGTCCCAGAAAATGAAGAGGGGGGAATCAACGATAAGCTTCGTGGAGAAACTCCTTAGAGAAAACTTGGACATTCCACCAGCCACTGAGCTACACATCGTAACGGCACAAAGAGCACTCGCCCCAAACCTGCCTCGACTGAGACAAGATCGAGAGTGATCAAATTTCCCCACTATGAAACAAAAGAGGATATTATACACAAAGCATGGATTTAAAAAAAGACATAATTTTGATCATTACTATCTGACAGCCATTCTGAATAAACGACAAGAATACAATGATGTGAAGCGGGCGCCGAGGGAGAAGAAAATCCGCTTCCAAACACTGTACCCACCCAGGCTCCGGAATTCTACGAGGAGGGGACACAGCTCAGGAGGCTACAAATGAGTTGGGTCAAGGTTCTTCTCCACCAAGTGGATCCTATGGAGCAGCTGACCCAGCAAGCATTGAGCATCGGAGAAGAAGAGGAGACAAGACACCCAAGGGTAGCAGCTATCAGAGATAAGCTTCAGGTCTACAGAAGAAAATCTCCTCAGTAAGAACCAAAATAATAATAGTAAAGAGTAGTTATAAATAAAAGATAGGGTACTGTTATCCGCTCTGATTTACCTCCCCCTCCTACATTTCTGATTGCATTTGAGCATCCCATATGAGAGTTAACATATTATTCTCTTTGCTTCCTTTTTGAGTAGATAAAACCCCATAACAGAGGACCTTTTATTTTCTCAATGGCATGAACAATTGTCTTCAGTGGACTAAAACACCATGGAGGGTCCTTCCTCTACAAAAGTACAGAAGGGGCCTCCCTCCAAAGCCAGATATTTCATCTGGCAAGCTAAAGGGACCGTTCATCAACACTCTTAATTTGGAAACCACTGTTTGGCAAATATATGTTTACCAGTAGAGTTCTTGGTTCATATTGCAAAATTACTTTCTTTGAGTTATTAAGGCACCTTTTCTAGAGAGGCTAAATGTAGCAGACTTATTGGCTCTTGCTAGATATGATACATGGGAAACTAAAAATCATCTCCTTCAATGTGAATGGAATACTAAACCCTATCAAACGCTTCAAGATATTATCAAAAATGAAATGATGAATGCACAAAACCCAAACCCGAAAACAAATTAAGAAATAATTATACACTTAATATACACTCAGGAGATTGAAAAGAAGATGCTATTCTCTAAACAAACAGCTCTAAATTTACAAAATTACTGGCATGGAAACTTAAGAAACGTCAAGCAGACAATACAATACACAAAATTACAAACCCTCAGAAAAACACAATAGAAAGTAAGCAGGATAAGATCCAGTCTATCTCCAAAACATTTAATAAACAACTCTTTTCTAAAACTGCAGATGTTGGAATTGACCAAATGGATATATTTCTTGGAACACTTACACTTACCTGTCAGGACGGAAGATCAGAATAAACAATTAGCCTCTGAAATAAAAGTAAAGAATTAGAAAGTGTTATCTGGGTAACACTTACTAAAGATACAACAGGACTATGTGATAAAAAACTACAACCACTTGTATCAAAGAGTCAGAGATGATCTTACAAAATGGAATCATATCCCATGTTTGAGCATAAGCTCTAGAATAGAAATCATCAAA